TGAGCTTTTAGACAAGAGAAGTATTTAGAGGGATGGAGTAATTTGTTTTCACATATGCATATGTTTGTACATAATAAGCATGTGAGTATATGTTCACATGTACATGCAAAAGGTCATCTAAAAGAAATTAAAATCATTAACAAATGATACTGTCCTTAAGAAATACACATTTATTAAAAATTGTTAAAATTGTATCAGTAATTAATTGATGATTTCAAATTTGAATTCAATTTGGTCATTTATATGTGATAAAAGTAAATAAAAGCGGCTGTTAATTTACATTTGCATAGATTTCAGTTCTCTGTTGTATTTGAATACGCTCAATTCTGTTAATTTTTCATATCGAGGTGAAACAGAAATTTAAGACGAGAAGGAAATGACGATTACACGAAACGAAATTTTTCTGCCAGAAATGTCAGAAACGCTGGCTTTGCACCTTCTCTATGTTATACGTTCTCTGACCTTCTCTATGTTATACGTTCTCTGGACTCAGAGAATGTCAAATAAGTTCTCTGTTTGGCTGTTGACACTGTCAAAAAGTGATATGGCGACATCTACTGGTGTATAGTGAATATTTAAATAATTGCCGTCATTTTCAGAAAATTATTTAAGGGAAAATGATTTCAATGGTTGGATATAATCCATACATTTTTGAACATTTCATAGAAATATTTCCTAAATGTTTTTTTTTTTCGACATATATATGTATATTTACAATACAGACAATCGTGTTGAGTTAGATTAGCTAACATTTTCGATATCAAGCGAAACGGGAATACAGTTTAACGTCTATGGATTAAGTATGTATGCATAGTAAATTCATATCGCTTCATGGTACCGTTAATTTATGTACTTTTCCCACAGACCGAATTCCAATAGTAGACGCTTTGGGAACATCTACTTACGAGCCTATTGTTTTATATTAGAGAAAACAATATAAAAAAGTAAAAATAAAAATTGAAATTTTGTTATTTTTTCGTTTTATTAAAATTCGAGTAGGAGCAAATTACAAGTGTGAAAATATACAAACAACAGTTTAAGATATCGTGTTCGAAATAAATGAATTCGTTAACATATTCTATGAATACACATGCTTCGTCTGTGTTTTTACAAAAATTTGAATGATATTAGGATACATATAATATTATCCTTAAATTAGCTGCACTTACACTTTGTATATAGAGTCACATACACTTATATGTATATGTTTAAGTTTACATTTTCAATTGTCAATTAAATTATTCAAAAAGAGATAAAACATACAACTATTAAGATTTGTTTTCGAAGTGTATACTAAGAAATTTGGAATGATTGTAATGTATTAAGTTGTAGATTTGTACAATATTGTCTTCTAAGGCACTATTTGTAGTTGCGCAAAATTAAAAAAAAGCGTAATTAATATCATTTTTTTTACTGTGCGTCTTTTTTACTTTAATAACTTTTGTGTTACGATACTTTGATTACAATATTTGTAAATTCTACTCATTAAACCACTATAATTTGGGGTTTATCCACATACATATGTATATTGCTATATAAAAATGTATATGCCCTTATGTATATATGTATGTATGAATGCACTTACTGATGCTTACATAGGTGGTGTGAACAAAAGTACGAAGTTTTATGCAATTTTTCGCAGTAGACAATTGTATGCCTTCAATTGGCATGCACTTCTTAATTACCTTTTCCTATTTGCTACTATACTTAATACTTTCATTTTTATTTATTTTAAAAAGCTGTATAAAGGTTGACCAGAAATAAAAATTTTTTTTGTGTTTATGTTGTAATGCTGTCACGTTCAGTACAAATGGCTTTTTTTTTATATATTTTCTAGAGAAAAGTTTGAGATTCTAATTAAAAATTCGTTGTTGGACACAAATGCAATAGTTTTTCTTATAAGACAGTCTTAGATGTCTGCGAATCTACTGCAAAGTAAGTAATAAGTATGTAAATGCAAATTCATAAGTACCAACTGCGTTTTTGGCCATTTGTACTGAATTATGGGAACTATTATGATTATGCAATGTGTAAATGTATGTATGTGTAAACCTTGTACAAATTGCATAAACTTACAACTATTCTTTTACGATACAATACGTGTAGCACATGAATTTCTAAACAAAACCTAAAATACAAACATTTTTTTACTTAAAGTTGAATGTCTTTTTTTTTTTTTAGAATTTGGACGGACTTTTAAAATATATAAAATAAAAACGTTTATTTTATTATTCGAACAATGAGAAAATTATTATTTTCCTAATTCTTAAATCTATGTATGTATTTACCTTGAATTATTCATCTTATCCTGCTGCTATAGGCCAGTAACACCAGTATATTTTTGCATTTTTAAATGCTTGTATTTATTCTCGCGACTACTTTTATGCTCCATCAATCCAAGCTCCTCCGCCGAGAGATGGGACCAGCACTAGGCCTTACCTTGAACCAACTCAAAACGTGTTTGCGACTCTTTGAATTGTCGACGTTTCTTCGCTTGTACATTTTGCTCAGTAAGGAATAAAATTGCTGTCACCAATGAAAATACTGCGCCAACACAAGCGAGCACAAATGACCAACCGAACCAATTGTTGGCGTGTTCTGGCATCCAACCATTACGATTGCCAAAACATGCAAAAACAATGACAGCCACCGATGCACAAACACCAGTTCCCAACATCACAAAGCCTATTACTTTTATAAGTGTTACAAAATGTTTCTGATCTGGTCCAGCGCATAGGAAGAATACCAAAACACCCACGCATGATACAAGTGCACCAATGAAAGCAAGTGTATAGAAGAATTGTGTTGCAATCATAAATGCGGGTAGTAAAAAGCCTCGAATCTCATCATAGCCTGTTGTGAATGGATCATATACCCAGCGGCAGCCGACGAAAAAACGGCGTTGACTATCGTCGTTCACATCCGGTAAAGATCTGAAGCAGTGTACCCAGAGTCCGAGACGATTAAGCTTTGCACCCGTTATCCGATCATCACTTGCGAGCCAATTGGGTGTGGCGAATGAGATGACAATCGCAGCGAACGCGATCACAAATACAGCAACACCGCTAGTGCCAGCTAATGTACGTCGCTTCATTGATGGAACAATTACTTTGTAGTGGGTCGTTGGCAATTGTTCTTGTGAGTCCTGGCGTGCGATATGCGAAGATTTTTGCATGCTTTTGCTTGCAAACGAAATAATTGTTTTGATATGAGCACTGTTGGTATTTTCTTATTGGGGAGTGGTGGCGCTTGTTGTTATAAACTGACAGCTGTCAAAAAACGTTTGTACGGTTGCATTTAGTATGGTGTTGCCATAATGTTGTAGCGATGTTAAAAAAAAAATTGATTATAATTTTTTATAAGTCATTAGTTGCTAATTTTGTTTTCTATACTTTAGAATCGAATTGCTATTATTTGACATTTCAAAATATAAATTAATATAAAATAACTGACTATATTGCCTTGAATAAAGGACATTTTTGTTAGTGACTTGGCTACATAAGCTTGATCATCAAAGCTCACCGCCTCCGCACGTGGCCGTTATAATAAAGTTCGAATTTGAGGAAGCTGTTTAAGCACTATTAGTGTGTTCGTTGAGTTGCAGGGCAGTAACAATTGTTACTAATTTTTACTGAACCGCACTTGGTGAAGCCAAAGGCAGTCAAATTTGCAACAAAAGAGCGGATTTTTGACATTTCGTTATTGACATTTGTCTCGAAGGCGCTACAACCCACTTGAGACCAATGTGTGGAGGACGTAATGGATTAAAGCACCACCAGATTGAAAACTTCTCAACACAAGAAGTCATTTAATTGCATTATGTATACATAGTTGCGAAATAAATTAATCAAAAAAGTATATCTACAGTTGGTCTTGAGCGTTTTTTAGTCGAGCTTCTTTTTCAATTCTTGAAGGCCGTCATGATGTATGTCTATTAGATTTTAGCCTTTCCATGCTCCTCCGCATCGTAACTGAGCTCGAGCTTCTAATATACACTGATCCATTTTACTTCGGAAAACGTTTTAAAATTTATTAATGTTTTTCATATAATGCGTCATAAGATATAAGGATGTATGTATGTTTTTAAGGAAATAAAAAAATTCATAATCCATGTTTTTTTTTTAATTTAAGGTTTGAAGTCAAAATGTATCGATTAATATTGGTATGAATTTGTCACAGAGCGTGCTAAAATCGTTAGCAGCTTATTTGAATATACATATGTACATACATAGCCCCAGGCAAATTTACATACGTATATATATATGTATATCGGTACTTAACTAAATATTTAAAATTTTGTACAGTTTTCAAACGAATGATAGTGACGGGTTTTGCTAATTTCATGCTTAGCATACAGATCATTGACGCAGCAGCCAATGTGAATCTTGTTTCTTTGTTAAATCTATCTGCATTGGCTAAAATGGCTCATAACGCTACCGCTCCTCCGACACCACGCTGTCTGTTTTAATCTGCTGCTGCGGGTGGCATGCTTGTCGGCAATTTGTTAATACTCTATTCTAGGTGTAAAGAGCACACCTTTTTCGGACTTGAGCTAATATTCGAATTAATGTTCTTTGCACCTGTCATCCTCACTATTCTCTACTGATATACTGGTTATTTGTCAAAAAATGTGAGATAATTAGAATATTAAGTTGACTTTGATTAATGGCTCGATTTAAATTATTAATACAGTTTCCGCCTCTGAAGACAGAATTTTTTTAGCTACGCTATAATCCTCTGTAGATTCAATTTTGCTACGAATCTTGTCACGCGTATTCGTATCGTCGTTTTGAGATTCAGACGCCATTGTTGTAGGAGTTAAGTAGAGTGTGAAAAGGTAAAAATAAGTGCGATTAGAAGTTAAACGAAAAAATGCTGAAACGCATGAATTATTTCATATTGAAAAAAAAAATCAACCTATTTATTGAGAAACCCATGAAAGTTTATACTTCATCTAAGTTATTCTAACATAATTGTCTTTCTTCTTCTTTACTGGCATAGACGCCGCTAACGCGATTAGTTGAGTTAACAAATGGTGACGTTAATTGGAAATACCAAGTACAGCCAGAGTCTTCTCCACCTGGTCGTGGAGTGGGTTTTGACACAAATGGTGTTAATATTATTGACTTTCGCCAGCAGTGGTACATTCTTATAGAGGTTTGTACCTTCTCTATTCAGTTCTACAGCTCGTATTATTTTCTCCACCAAAAAATTCAGAAGTCACACGCTTAGGAATCACTTTTTCTGAAACCTCATTTGGTTTCGAACGGCTCGGAGAAGTCCTCTTCGGTACTGACGGAGCTTTTGCTTTCGCTCCGTAACCTCTCATCTCATCTCGTTCCTTATCGTCTCGTCTCGTCTCGACTACTTTCTTTTCGCCTGGTCTCGTCTCTTCTCGTCTTGTCTTGTCTTGTCTTGTCTTTCATTTCGTCTCGTCTCGTTTCTTCTCGTCTCGTTTAAGGTCAGTTTATACAGCTCCTTTTCGTTCTGTCGAAGGCTGCTTTAAAAGCGTTAAATTAGAACTTCGAATATATTGTTTATAGCTCGCAATGCTTTAGATAGCTAGGATTGGATTGCTGCAAAAGCGGATTCGCAAAGATTTGAGTAGAAGAAAACATCATTGGATTTAAAAATTTAATACTTTCTGATCTACTCTATTTTTGCATAAATCAAAATCGGTATAAGCACGGAATTTAACACTTCGAAAATATCAAATACCGCTGAAGAGAAGGATGCTCAGCAGTGCATACTACAATACAATGGAAGTCACGGGTCGGACCAACATCAAAAAAATAATCAAAAATTAATTAAAAAAAAAATGAAAATAAGTTGTTCTAATTACGGTCTCCACTCGACAGAGAATGTTAACCCTGGTCTGACGTGGAAAATAGAAAGGGCTTCTCACAAAAATCTTCAGCGTTCGGAAACGACTGTAGGTCCCTCCATTTGTTGGCAAAACATCAAGACGCACAGCACTAATTTCTAACCGAATAAATTTCGGCCAAGAATCGTTTAAGGCAATTATATATGTATATGTATATGCATATGTGCACATACACGTGTAAATGTCTGTGCGACCTTAAATAAATTAAATCAAATCAAATCAAATCGCATATTCATGAAAATGCTGGTTGACGTCGTTTGCTTGCGTTTAGCTTTTTTAATTTGGAATACTTCCTTTTTTTGTTTTCTTTCTTAAGCATACTACTCACATTTAAGTGCTAAGTGGAAGTATTCATTCGCTTTCATCTTTTGTTTATGAATATCTAGAAGAAATAGGCTCAAAACTAGTCAATATGTAAATTTTTATGCGAATTTCATTCAAATGATATCGAACAAAGGTTTTCAGATCATTTTTTCTGGTAACTGAAAATTGCAGAAGATACACATATATACATATGATAGCGCTTTGTAACCGCTGAAGCGAGTCTTGGCCGAGCTCTTCTTACAATTTGTGAAATGCGTTATGATGTTTTACCAACAAATGGTGGCACCCACAGCTTAATCTTAACCCCCACCGGTCGGTCGATGGATTTTCATGAATAATTATTTATTTTATTTGATGTCAGAAATAAACACGCTGAGCCTGAGAGGCGACGGCAATTAGAAAAATTATATATTTTTTAATAATTTCCGACATTGGTTTAACCAGGACTTGAACCGTGGTCGTCAGAATGGCAGTACGCAACCACTCTGCTATTGCCGCAATATAAATATAAAAATATATTAATATTTATAGATGAAAACACACGAAGTTCTATATAAAAAGAAAGCCAAAATACCCTTACTACACATGGGCGTTGAACCCGATTTGAGAATGACCTTGAGTTTCATTCGCTTACTCATATGAGTATTTCATCCATTGGTGACATACCTACTAGAGCTCTAGATAACCGGGTAGCGTCCAAGGTATTATTTGTTAGAATCTCTCCGGCGTTCTAATAAATAGATAAATATAGAAAAATTTCGCAGAAAATATTTAAATATACTCGCATAGAAGTATAGTATTTTTGTTCAAACACTCGCAAATGCTCGAAATGCTGAGACTCGTGCTTGGTTTTTCAAGCTGCTCGAAATTTTTCTTACAAAATCTTGAGCTCCAGTAACATTATACCTACCAGTATATTCATTTGAAGGAGCATAAATATAATTTTTACCCAGAACAAATTTTGCACACATGAACACATACATACACATACACTTATCGACTGCAATCTTTCAAATTTTCGCATAATTATAAATTGTATACGCTTGTGGTGGGCATGAGTCAATTAATAGCCTACATAATTATATAATAATAACTAAATACATATAAGCATTTGGACAATAGCTTATTCGTTTGTTTGATTGTTTTAAACCGCTTTTTTTTTTGTTTTGCTTATATTAACATTATCTTTGTCGGCTCATTCATTTTTCATTATTGAAATGAAACTATTGACATAAGTGATTTTAGTCATTATGAAAAAAATTTAATTACTGTCATGCTCGATGATTTTCGCAAACATTGCTTATGATGTTTATTCCAGTATGCTATGCGTATGCAAATGTTAAAGGCAGGTACATACATATCCATGAAAATTGAATTTAATTGAATTAAAAATAGGCGTACATAATAATTATTCGCAGAATTCTTTTAACAACGGCTACTTTTGTTTGAAGTCAATAAATATATCAAGGATGACTTTAATGTGTGCAGATTTTTTTCCACCTAATTTTATAATATTAATATTCTGCAAATTCGATTAAAGAAAAAATTTCGAACTGGCGAATTATTTTTAAGCTTTATTTAACCCTTAACATCTTCGAGTAATATTAAGTAATTTAATCAGTTTTGACAAAAATTATGGATTTTAGAATTTAATAGTTTATTAAACATATATTTTAATTTACTTAAAAAAAATATGGTGTAGTAAAAAGTTGTCCATTATTTTGACAATATATGTCTTTTCTGAACTCTATCTCGCGTTATACAAGTACGATTTGATAACGGTGAATGTCGGTAGAAAGTTGATATTTTATACTGAAACATATAATGGCGGAAGTGTTGATCATTTAACTCAGTAATGTTTGAGCGTATGCCAAAAATGGATACCAGCAATGAGAAAATAGGCCATATTCTATAGTTTTTCTTTGATAAAGACGAAAACTCTAGCAAGGCAGCTGAAAATGTGTTTAATCTTTATGGGCATATTGACGTTGTTATAGTAACGATTTACCAACCGCGCGAGATCATTATAAGTCATCGATATCATCTAAAGGGCGGTCCATAAAACCAG